TCACGTATTATTAACATTAATTACAACCTTATTGAAACGCGTGATAATTTTTTACTTCAAAAGTGACTCAATGTTTTGATTCAGCTTAAATTCAGACAGAACGTTCATTAAAGAACGTCAACAGCAAGAATAATACATAATCCATACAGATTAAGGAATAATATTATTATGAATAGGTTATAATCATCAATTAATGAACGGGTTGTTGTTAAACAACAAAAAAAGAAATATATTTTTCCACTACATAACGTGATTATTCTGAATTTATGCCGCGATGGTGCGATGGACATAGCGAGAGGTTCCCACTATTTATTTATTTTAAAGCTCTCGTAGATAGATGTGCGTGCAGCCTCCATGGTAATCGTACCATTTAGGATTACAGCTGTCCATAGTCATCTTTAAACTGTAAATTGTACTTTCTTTCAACTAGGTATCCGCCTTTAAGATATGAATTATTTATTACGTCACAATACAACTAATATTTTTGCAATTATCACAAAAATCCTTTTAATCACATTACTATTGCGTATAAAGTTGATGTACAACAATACGAATCATTCCCATTCAATATCAAAATAACTCTGTTTTATTTTCGCAGGCGGCAATATTCTCGCGTATTTTTTAAAATGTTAAAACAAAAAAGAAAATGTTTCATTATAAATTAAAAAAAAACTCTCCGAAATTGTAATTGACGTAATTACTATACAATTCATAAACCTCAAGTCTCAAGGTGGGTGTGATGCATTCACATTGTAGTACGTATTGGCTCCGGTAACCACTTCAAAGCTTCAAACCAGGTGGGCCGTGATTTCACTCACTCATCATCATCATTATCCTGCCCTTCTCCCAGTCACCTGGGGTCGCCGCAACATGTTTTCTCCTTCCATACTTTTCTATCATATACCATTTCTTCGCTCACTCCCTTCTTACCCATATCGTCTTTCACGCAATCCNTTCACATTGTAGTACGTATTGGCTCCGGTAACCACTTCAAAGCTTCAAACCAGGTGGGCCGTGATTTCACTCACTCATCATCATCATTATCCTGCCCTTCTCCCAGTCACCTGGGGTCGCCGCAACATGTTTTCTCCTTCCATACTTTTCTATCATATACCATTTCTTCGCTCACTCCCTTCTTACCCATATCGTCTTTCACGCAATCCATCTATTTCTTCTTAGGTCTACCTCTTCCTCTATATCCTTCCACATTCATAGTTAACATTCTCTTACCAAGCTCATTTTCATTTCGTCTCATCACATATCCATACCATCCCAAACGCGTACTTCTCAGCATCTCTGTCACAGATGCCACTTTCAGACTTCCTCTAACATATTCATTCCGTATTCTATCCATTCTCGTTACTCCACACATCCATCGCAACATTCGCATCTCTGCGGCATGCAATTCACTCTACTAAATGAAAAGTAATTTTCAATTTCAATGTGAGGCAACGGCGCTATGAAGGAAGGTCTCAGTGTTATAATCGAGTTTGGCATCAACACCGCGATCGGGCTGTTGACGCGAGACCTCGTGAGCGTGACGCAAACAGTGTCACATGTATCCTAGAATAGACAGACGGCCGGGAGACACCTGCGCGTTGTTGTGAAGCTGTACAACGAACTATACCAGACGGAGCACTGTGCGTAACAATTATTGCTAATTTTTTTATGTCTAGCTTTTCTGTGCCGTCGTTGATAAATGAGCACAAGCTAGTCCACCCACGGACTTATCGTTAGTGTGGGACAAAGTTACGAAAAAAATTTATTTTTTTTAATGTTTCGTAAGTCGATCTTTGGTAAAACACGTTCTCATTTTACAGGATTCTCAACTATGATTTTCTCGTACTTCCTAATGACAGAAGTTCGAATTTACTGTTTCACTAGTATCGGAAACATTTACACGTATTAGATCAAGTACAACCAAAAAAAATTCTCGTCCGCAATCGGAATACCTATAAGGTTTAATTTTGTTTGGGACGTTTTCCTGTTTCACCAGGTAGGTCTAACAACTCAAAGACAGTCGCTATGGGAGTGCATCACTGTGCATCTAACACCATATCAGAACCGCACTCCCCCAGAATATCTAGCGAAGAACTCAGTGTGATTACCAGAGTCCCTAAGCTTCCTCGAAGTGCTAGTTCTGAAGGCGTCTAATGCAAGAGTTATTGGATCTGATGAATCCGTAAGGACGTGAGTTAATATTACCGACTATATCGAATATTTTTCGGGCATTAAGTCAAACTCTTCGGACTTCTTTGACGAGCACGGTGATTAATAATTAATCAAAAGATGAGATTATTCAGACCAGTGATGTTACGTAACCACCCCAATTTTCATTTACAGTTTTACTAACGTTCTATAGCCTCATAGGTTATTAGATTTAAAAAAAAAAGTTATTTTCCACTTGACCCGAAATTAAGGTTTTGTAAAACCAAATCAGATGTTACACCTATTTTAAACAAGTTTCCTTTGCATCTAATACCTATATTTTACTCGTAATAAATTTTCATTTTAACGAAACAATATTTCGAAGTCGTGTCCCCCATTCAAATATCTTTTTTTTATATCTTTGAAATGTTTGTTCGGATTTTACAATCAACACCGCGTAGTCCGAGAATACTACATAAAATGATTTCAGCTACGCCCCGAACGATTTACGTTTACGATGTCGTAAAAAGAACACAATGTAGACATCGTCTGTAAATTTATAACGGCGCTTTATTAAATAACAATAGACGGTTTGAGTGCGAAATCATATGCGTTTAATAGCTATGACGTCATTGCCAAATATACGAGTATTTAGTGTCTGTACTCATGATAGTATTATCCAAGTATTTTGAATTGTAACATATTAAGATTTGCAAAGTACCTAGTACCTACGCTAGTTTTTTTTCTTCTTAGTCGATGAATGCGTCTGTAGTTCCAAACGGACTTTGTTGACGTACATATGTATATATTTTAAACTGTAATGTCTCATGGCTTAGTTTCAATTTAAATCAATTCAATGAAGTTAGACAGCCAATTTGCTGAGCCCATACAAGTTCAAGTACTTCATAGTATATTATATTCGATTGAAGTATTGCTTTCATTGAAGCTCAATTCCGGATTGTGACTTATCGTTTTAAGAAACTAAAATAAATCTTCATTCATTCATTGTGACCCACATGAATCTATTTAACTACCCCCAATTATTAAATACATCAGGGACCTGAAACTGCGATACTCTAAGACAAATATTTTTTGTATGGAAACTAGCGACATCTTGTGGCGAATGCCCCTAAAGTTTTATGTTAATAATGAAAATAATTTTAAAAAAATCATACAAGTCTTTATTTGTTTTAGACAAATTGATTAAATTTTATCAATTTGTGGTTTCTCAAATTTACAAAACCCTTCATTAAAATTAAAATTTAGGATAGGTAATATGTTACTGGCATCTACAGGAGCAATGAGAAACTAATCGAAGTGAAGCAATCTAGTGGCCGACGCCCGTAAACTTTTTTGTTGAATGCTTGAGTTGCTTATCTATAATAACCAATTTATGTGTATTATCTATGAAATACATTATAAGCTAAACTACTTTTCTTAGCCATATGTATATTTACGAACATATTTATTTGAGCTTGCTGCAGCAGAGAATGTAAGAAGTAAGTACTTTTTTGCCTAAGGTGCAGCACTCACTCAGCGCATTTGCAGAGAGGTTACTTACTACCTTCTCTTAACAGCAATGCAGAGTGGTATAACATGAGCCTCCTTATGCGTTCTTAATTCATATAAACTCGTTAGGTCCATAATTATTAGTGTTCTGCCTCGCAGATAAAACTTAAGCCGAACCATAAAGATTAATTTTAGATGAGACAAAAAGCCTCTTATTCAAGCTGAAACTTGAATTAAGTTGCCGTTTACAATATAAATAAACAATCGACTTTAGGTAATCGTTCGGTCTATGACGCTAGTTGGAGTTACGAATTAAACTAGGTGATAAAAAAGATAGTTAGAAAAAAATACGCTATGCTCTAATGAACAAAATTTAAAATAGCGTGTACATTACGAACTTTATTTTTATGCTATTATCAAATTATACACTAGAATTCCGCTTCATTTCCGTGTCGCTTAGATTGTAAAGCTTTATAAACAAAACAAAAATATCGGATATTTTGTAATTTTTGCTAATTTTTGTTTAGTCTAATTAATAATTCTAGTTTAGTCAAGTTTTTTTTTTCTTAGATGGGTGGATGAGCTCACCGTACACCTGGTGTTAAGTGGTTACTAGAGCCCATAGACATCTACAACGTAAATGCGCCACCCACCTTGAGATATAAGTTCTAAGGTCTCAGTATAGTTACAACGGCTGCCCCATCCTTCAAACCGAAACGCATTACTGCTTCACGGCAGAAATAGGCGGGGTGGTGGTACTTACCTATGCGGACTCACAAGAAATCAAATCAAATAATATGAATATAATGTTAACGTTTACTCTCTTAACGTTTACAAACACGATTATCTTACACATCGACCAATAAGCACATACGGATAAATTACTCTTTATGGCCCAGTAATATCAATTGTAACTGGTTTGAATTGAGATTATTTCGGTTATCATTAAAGTATTTTATTCTTATATTGATTTGAAATGGTTTGGATTTTGAGTCCTTTACAGATCTTACTACGATTGTTAGGGTAGAATCTTATTTGAAGATTAGAAACTGATGATATTTTCAAACTAGCGTTACTGTCACGACTAAAACAAACCTAAATTTTACTATATTAATTTTCCAAGGAATTAGTTGACCAAGGAAAAATTCACAATCCTATCGTAAATTCATTGAAAACACTCGTAGATATAAAAGGAAATTAAGTTTTGAATTCCTTGAAATTGTCGTCAGCGAGTATTAGTTTTCACATATGAAATGCAAATGCGGCATCGTACAGACATGTCATACTTTTAACTTAAGGTGTGTACTCATACACATATGAAATTATATCAACAAATTGCTTACCTCAAATAATTAGGGTGGATCTTCACAGTCTGCGAGCTCAGCGCTGCTGTAACCGGCTTAGGCCAGATTCCGCCGAACCTTCCGCAGACTATACGGCACACGTCAAGCGAATCGAAGAAAGCTGACGTTGAGTTGTCGGACAATGTCGGCCTAGGATGTTCACTACGCTGACATCCTTCATCCGGCACGCACTTATACATCCATGATGGTCTGGACACAAGTATTTGACATTAGATTTAGCATGATCAAAAGATTTTATGTGATCTATTCGATTAGTAATCAAAATACCCCTCTTTTAATTACTAATCGAACGATGAGAACTCGCCTCTTGGGGCTATTACAATTTATTCCCTATCCATCTGTAACATTAACGTATTTAATTCATTATTATTATTATTTATTATTCATAATTTATTTATTATTATTAACGTATTTAATTCATTTTCTAAATTAATTCACGAATAATTAATTTGTAAATCGAGATCAACAGTTCTCAAGCAAGCGAAAATAAAGCTAGTGATATGTCGTATGGCTTGATTCAATATGAGGTATTGTAATTGGATGTAATGTTACATATTGAATGCCCAAGTAATCTACTCTACGATAGATTTTAAAAGCAATGTAAAACTATAAGAAAAATAACTTCATCTATTTTAGTTTCATTGTCATGGCGATTTATTAAAATTTTACAAGCAAGCTATTGAAAAAATTAGTGTAAAATTTTCATGAATTATCAATTTCTGTAATGCCTTTCGTATTAGGCAATATTCGGTCGCGAACAATCTATGGATACAATGCGAAATGTTTGAAACATCTTTGTAAGCCTGGTTTTTAATGGTCTAAATGCTTAAAAAATATCTAATGCTTATATAATATTTGGCGGTACCAATAATTATTTTTAGACATCACTACGGTGCCTATGACGGGTAAATGGTGACTTTTATTCGAAATATTTAAGCTTAGACCCAGAAATTATACACGAGTAAAAACTAGACATTCATGAGCTACGTTTATTAGCTATTTATTCTACCTACATTCTTAATTACGAAGTTCTGAAAGGTCGTTCAATGTGGATTAACCGGCTGTGTCAACAATTTTCACTGAATAATACATTAAACTACCCACAACTGAATTGATAAGAGCTAATGCTGCAATAAAATTGTAAAAGTAAATAATTACTTGAATTCACTCTTTAACTTACTCGTAAATTTGAGGGGTGATTTCGTCAAATGTACTTTCTACATTGCATAGTACACCTGCCAAATGCATGGTCGTCATCAACGCCAACAGCCGATGAAGCGCCATGGTCAACTGAAAATAACTTAATAACTTAACCCGTTGAACAACTAAGAAAACAAGCATATACATTAATTATCATCATATAGCATATATCATCATATACCAATATATGAGCCAGAACTCTACCTAATGACCATTCATGAATTCCAAACAAGACCTTCCAGGTTGATTATCATACCAGTTCAAATTTATTTGGTACAGTTTACTGGTGTTACGAAATGTAAATATGTAATATGTAAAAGGAATGAAATAAGTGGCATTTTCCCGGGGTAAAGCATCGATCTACGATCGATGGGGTAAAGAATAACTTGAGTCATTCTCTGGTTCATAATGAGTCGATGCAGATCCATTAAAAAGTAAATTGACCCACTCTTGTATTTACTATAGCCGTGGCCGCCTGGATCGGGTCATTTATCATGATAAAAAGTATCCTATGATTAAATTTAGACTATATCTTAAAGCGATATTTCACTCCTATCCGCCTATCCTATATTTTTGAGAAATCGAAATTTTTTAAATACAAGTTTTTACATTGTAATTATTAGTACAGATTAATGTTGAGATGCCTTTAGTCATGCGACATATTTCTAACATTATTCATTAAGTTCTGAGCAGAATATTACGAAACGCCTATTAACCATGTTTTCATATTATAGGTACTTGTTTAATTGTTTGTCGGATGCGCTGTGAATTGCTCAACTGTTTTTGTTTAATCGAATGAGAACAACTGTAATCAATAACACTGCTATATTTTTATATGAAACATAAAAATAATATGCAATTATCTGAGAGTTCTAGTCGGACCTGTATTGTACAGGTTTGTTTTTCAGTTTTTTTTTTATGATGCAGATGTTTACACGATGATCGCGATGTACCGGTAGTTGAATTATTGTTTTTAACAGAAGAGCTATGGGTGAATTTTCTATCATATGGTAAAACCCAATAGTATGGTAACAGAGCTAATTCTTGAGACGATAATACATTTATACTTCGGCATAAAATACATATATGCCACCTGTAAAATTAGTGGTAGTTCAGAGGCTGACATTTTTTTGTTTATAGTTTGTTTGTCATCTGCCCTTAGACTATAGTAAGATGCTTTGTGTAAATCTATTTTTTCAGCTATACTAAAAGCTAGGCAGAATTTTGAAACACGAAAATGATTGAAAAGACAATGCATCTATTGCGGCTTACACGAGAAAATGTAACCGTAGTAGCTAAAAATGACAAAAATCACGAATAAGACACTCGCATTATACATCATAGTAGATTTAAAATTTCAAAAATATATAGTCGGTCTTCAAGAAGTTATCAGGCAAATAGAGTAGAGGCACTTGACTCGTTCCATATAATGATTAGAGGTCACCATATATTTACTTTTTACTGACGATGTGGCATTTTTTGAGTCCGCACGGGTAGGTGACAACTAGTCTGCCTATTTCTACAGCAGAGCAGGGATGCGTCCGTTTGACAGGGAGGAACAACCATTATACGATAAAAATGAAACTGAGATCTCATATCTCAAGATGAGTGGCAACATTCATGTAGTGATGTCGACGGTATCTGGTAACCTTGGGAGAGGAGGTGCGCCGTGTCTCATTAACTCATGATGCAATAAAAAAAATTACTAGTTTCATTAATATAATTATCTCTAATAATCAAATTAATTTAAACTGTAACAAAGTGAATAACTAAAGACCTATTCCCGAAATGATTACTCCAATTATCGAATAATTTGCTTTCTTTATTACTTTTAATCGGACAGGTCATGGTCATTTTTTATTAGCAATGAACTCAGACAAGCGCAGCGACAATTAATGAATGTGGTCTTCAGTTAATGAATATGGACAAAAACATCCATAACAATATAGGACAATAGAAGCACAATTAGCACGCTACCTCAATTTTAACCTAGCTTCTCGTTAAAGACAGCGGTCTTCCAATTTTGTTTGAATTGTTTGTATGAAGCCGGGGAAACGCGTGTCTCGTGACTAATTAAAAATGTAACAACAGATTCGTCTTCGTAATTTTTCAAGCGTCATTACGGATCCTCCCGATCCATTAACGGTGCTTTTGGGTACCTTAAGCACCGGTCACCGTCCCCGCCGAACCCGTCGACGAAGGGCTCGACGAGTAAATTAACCCATAGACACAGCCCACTGAGTTTCTCGCCGTATCTTCTCAGTGGGTCGCGTTTCCGATCCGGTGGTAGATTCTGCGAAGCACTGCTCTTACTAGAGCCAGTGTTAGCAACACTCCCGGCTTGAGCCCCGTCAGCTCACCTACTAGTTCGGTGAATCTAGAATAACCCCTCGAAGTTACTAGAATAGGTAGGGGAAAAAAAAGTTCCGTTCGTGATGTTTACGTAGTAATCACAGCTGATACGGTCGACCAGTATTGAGACACTTCCCGACACGCGATATTCGCTACTCGGTTTTAGTAACTGATTAACGTGACCGTTGCATGCCGTGACAACAGCTATCGGAAACTATATAAAAGTTATACAGATCCATTGCACGATTCACTGCATAATTAACGAACGGGAAATGTACTGACTATATCGATTTCACTGTGTCCTCAGTCCGCTGTACAAATCACTTGACTTTTACAGACTTTTCGATCGAAATAATATAATAATTAAAAAAGCCGATAAAGTAGTCAAGGCCATCGTAAAATATAGAGTTTCAGGAGTTATCTATCATTCTGAATTAGCTAATGTATACACAATTACATCGTTGTTGAGGAAATAAAATAAACTGAAAAATTTAATTCCGTAAAAAGTTAACTTTATGCGACAAACTGTGTCGAAAATAGATAACAATACATGTTTTTCAAGGAATTCCAGTTTTTGCGGGCTTTTTTATTATTTCTTGATCACTAATTTACTCGTAAAGAGAGTCATCAACAAATGACATCAACGTGTAGCTACTATCCTCAGTAATCAGATAATTATTGAGGATCGGAAATCAATGCCGGACTTTTTGGTATAGTAGTCAGAGACTTAACCACTCAACCTGTCGAGGCTATCCGATACAGTGATAGGTAAGCATTCCTAATGCTGAAAAGGACGTAAAATGCCATCGTAACATAAGCGAAATACGCATTTCATATTACCTTCAATGTATAAGGATGAGATTTCACGCAGTCAATGATCCCGCAGTTTTTGAATTGTCTATACACTGCGTGCAATATGCAAAGGACATTTACGCTTTAAGTTAACAAATAGAGCTATCGTATCCAGAATCACCAACGAGCTCTACCTGGTAGATTCTAAAGAGCGGAACATATCTGTTATTTTATATGTCTAACTTTTTGTGGCTAGTAACTAAATACCAGCAACGAACTAGGACTGGCCTTAAAAAGTATTATAAAGATAATGTTCTCTTAATCCATTTCTATATATTTCTATATTTGTATAATATCATATACCAGTACTTGATTTCAATTGAAACTCTAAAGGTTATCAAAGTTAATATCTCGACATTGCATATTATACAGGACGTAAACAATATTGATCATAGAAATTTTTCCTAAGTGATATAAATGTTTCGACTCGTGCATCAATGTAAATAATATATAATAATGTCTATTTGTAGTTTTTCAATTACACGTATTTTTAACAGTTTTGTATATTGATATTGTATATTGAAGTCGTCGTGGCCTAAAGGATAAGACGTCCGGTGTATTTGTGTTGTGCGATGCACCGGTGTTCGAATCTCAGGCGGGTACCAATTTTTCTAATGAAATACGTACTCAACAAATGTTCACAATTAACTTCCACGGTGAAGGAATAACATCGTGTCATAAAAAACAAACCCGCAATATTATACTTTGCGTAATTACAGGAGGTAGGACCTCTTGTGAGTCCGCGCGGGTAGATACCACCACCCTGCCTATTTCTGCCGTGAAGCAGTAATGCGTTTCGGTTTGAAGAGTGGGGCAGCCGTTGTAACTATACTGAGACCTTAGAACTTATATCTCAAGGTGGGTGGCGCATTTACGTTGTAGATGTCTATGGACTCCAGTAACCAATTAACACCAGGTGGGCTGTAAGCTCGTCCACCTATCTAAGCAATAAAAAAAAGGTTGTATAATAATAGATGGAATAAAAAATATTTAAAAAGTCGCTTAAAGCGATCTCATTCAATAGCTAAATGCAAAATTAACTATATAGTATAATAGTTTTATTATAAACTGAAATGTACATCTACAATTATATGCATGTATTATGACAATATTTATGTTGTATTAAAACAACAATTCTAACAGATTTCTTATATTTTACTAGAGTATACTACATATAAGAGAATTTTAAATCGTAAATATTTCGTTAATAATAATAATTTATTGTCAGCGATAGTATGTACCTATTCATTAGGTCAAAGCGATAAGATATCCCAACCGTACTAAAGATTACATACACATCGAAATTCGAACTCAAACTCACGATTCCTGTTACATTTTACTGTTATGACAAACTTAGCATATTTTGTGCGTTAACAAAGTAATAGAATTTTAAAGTACTTCATATAAACACAATTAGTTCACATTATGATAATGAAACGAATACTTACGAGAATAAAAGGTTTGAATGATATTTCACTAACACTCAGTATCAGGCAACGACTCGCTTCTTGTGTGAAAATTTTAAATAATCATCATAAAAGTAAATAATTCTTCTGATTTTTTCAGACACAGCTTAAACGAAATTAAAACTCATAAATATAATACAAATGAACTTCGCGTAACCAATAAATTTTGTATCTCTTTGGTTTCGAAACGAGGCAAGAGAACTAAACCGGACCTGGTTTTTGTCTTTTTAATTTAATGTTTATTTATTCGCTATTCTGATCTGCACGCAGGATGTATTCGTTGTGCCAAGTCCGCCAGTACTTTGTGACAACAGTCGATTACTAAACGGTTTTAAGTAATGTTGTTGTTATTTATTGTCAATTACTGAGCACCGCCCCGGGAACAATATCGCGTTTTTGATAAAACGCGCGCGAACCGGCGTAAGGCGCGGACCGCTCTGATTGGACGAGTGCCGGCTACCAGGCGTTTGAGCGGAAGATCCGCTTTTAGCCAACTGTTGATACTTAGCTCGGTGCATGTAGGTTTTACCTTTCTACTGCCTTGAACTTTATTGTAAATGGCCTACAACAAAACTATCAGGTTTTAAGAACAAACATATCTTCTAAATGTATCCGAAGCTAAATAACAAAAAAAATCTAAATCTATAGTGTCTGCACTTTTTTATAATACAAAATTTAAATCCATAACTCGCAAATAAAATCAACAAAAAAAACATCAACATTTCAAATAAAATTCGATTCATCGTCAATTTATAAACTATCACCCGCTCACAAAAATAAAGGGTGTTCAGAGAATCAGTTTAATTGATATTTTAAAGCTAATTAGTCACGGAGCACGTGAGTTGGTGTAATGCGTTGATTGAAAGAGACTGGCGTCTGTTTAGGCGTCGAGACTATAGGTACGCTTTGAACTTTGTGTGTCATTAGCACAGTACCTACACAGAACAAGGATTTCCTAAAATAAAACATTTTTTGTTAACATAGGAGAGTCTCGGTCCAACTTAACAAAATCGTTTTTTTTTTAAATAATTTGAATTGTTTTTGCAGCTATCTACAACTCGTTAAATGTGAAAATCGTGGTAAAAACTCGTTAAATAATAGTGTTTAAAAAAGTTAGTACTGTACTTATAACGTATTCGTGTCAATAAATATATTAAGTATTTATAAGTTTTTATAAATATGAACACTGCTAAGGGTCGTGACTTCTTGTGAATTATTTCCGCCAAGCTCCCGCAGGCAACTAATGGATATTTCCGAGAAAATCACCGTTGAACCGATTCTAACGATACTTTTACTGGCAAGTAGACAAATTCTCAAATCCAATCTAGTCTGATTATCTCGGAAAACTTTTGAATGAACGAAAATCATAAGGTGAAATCAAAAGAAAACATGATCAATGTGTGAAATAATTTATGAACAGCTGGCACACTTAATAAACTATGAGAGCAACACACAAACGGGACAACACATTGCGTGCACTTAATTTATGTAACAATTGTTTAAATATATTTTTTTCTTTTCAATGCTATATCCAACTACGTTATACGACAAACGTTATCCCGAATAAATCAACTCACATTGACACCAGCAGAGAATTCTGGAAAATTAAGGTAAAAGATGATGTCGGGATATTTAAGCAATTATGTTATTTTACGAAATCTTGGAGCGGTGTGATTTAAATACATATACATATACTAAAAAGTATTAATTTATTTGTTGAATTAGGATTTTTGGTAGGTTCAGCCCTTGGTACTCTACAGTGATGTTCATGAGAATCCGCAACCGCTCAACATCAAATAGGTCAAAGTGTGCTCACTAACCTTCGAGGCATTAAAAACTGTAACAACAAAATTTTGAGGACATCGAAAGGATTTTAAAAAATCACTTGTTGATTTATTTATTAATGAATTAATTCAAACACTCATATTCGAAATAAAGCTAATTTAATTTTAAAATTTTCTGGTTTGGATTGCCCATTATTTCCTTGTGATGTACCTATGTGTAAATCTAGTCTTTTCCCCCACCTTATCCCACTAGGTGGGGTCGGCACAGCAAATTTTTCTCTTCCATTCTCTTCTATCAGCCGTTATCTCAACACACACTCCTCTCTCTCTCATATCGTCATTAGCACACTCTATCCATGTCTTCTTCGGTCGACCTCTTCCCCCTCTACTTGCTCTACCATTTCCATATATCTCCTAGTCACATGCATCTTCTCTCTACGCATCACATGTCCATACCACGTTAACCGTCCGCTCTTTAATTTGTTGATTACCGGGGCTACTTTCACACTTTTTCTGTAATCTTCATTTGTGTAAATCTAGTCACTTATCCAATTTTCATCCAAATATGCCCGTAATTCGGATTTACATCAATAAGATACTTCTCGGTGCTCTGTGCTAAAATCGATATTTTTAAACTGGACTCCTTGATACAAAGATTTGAAGAAGTCTTTCGTTATCCTGGTAATTATGTTCTGTCATGAATATTTTATTTTGGATTTTTGATGGTAATATATATTCTAATATAGATAATGTTAATAATTAAGTACATAAACAAAACAACCCAGTACTATTTTCTCCTCTATTTGGAAACTATTTTTTCAAGTTCGTAATGGCTATTTTCGTGCTCCTCTGTAATCAATTTATTTGTTTCGAAATAGTCAGCTTTTTCTTATAAATTTTAATAACAAAACAATAGTAACATGTATAATAATAAATAAAATAGATCGAAATCAATCAGTTATTATGGTTGAATATCGATCACTGGGTGAACACTAGTAAAATTATTATAATTATACTAATCACTAATAATCTATGCTAAAATCTAACGATATAAAATAACTTAAATACAATTAAACACAGTTAAAACCTATAATTTTCCCGTTAAGTCGCCACGTCGTATCTGACCCCATAATCTCAGTACCGTTAACCGCACAGCCGCATTTATGGTGTGAAACACCATTGTTCGTGTATTTCTAGAACAATCATTTAAACATTAACATTGACGTATAGCACATAAACTATAACACAGGACTACAAAAAAAACTTATTTTTTTGGTGCAGCTTTTTTTGTGTTTATGGTCGATAAAGTAGGTAGGTAATGTACAATATATTGACATACGTCATTTTAACTCATCAGCTCTAGTTTATCTACTACCCTCATTTAAAATTTTTACCAGTTTGTTCGCAAATAATAGACATTATTACAATAAATCGATAAAGTTTGTGTTACTATTTCATTATGGCATTTATGTCGTATCTGACCCCATAATCTCAGTACCGTTAACTGCACAGCCGCATTTATGGCGTTAAACACCATTGTTCGTGTATTTCTAGAACAATCATTTAAACGTTAACATTGACGTATAGCACATAATCTATATTCTATTGGTATGGTACTTTCATAAATTATATATTATATAAATAGACAAAAAATCACTCATATTTATGCAATTCGTTACCATACAATTACCAATTCTTAGTAAATTAACAGTATATTTGCGCGCGAATGACAATTTTTTATTATTTATCTACCAAGTAAATGAAATTTAAAAGTCTGTTTGTAATAAAAGAATAAAATGGGCTTTAAAAAAATCTTTTTTTTTTTTTTGTATATTTCTACTACTTTTATTGTAGAAAAAAAAATTGTATTCGCTCCAAAAATTCCCATGAATTAGTAAACTCCATTCGATTCAAATAGGCACCACATTAATATCAGACATAGCCACAGCAAAAAGAGCGTGACCTGTTTAAACTTGTAAAACTGTTCATTGTCTTTGACAGAAACCTGAGTTTTTCTATTTGTGGCGGTTTGTCAATTTTGTCATTCAACATAGATATCTAAATGATAAGACAGTATTTAGCTTGCTCAGCTATTCATATTGAAGGATTCCACACACGTTAAATTTTTTCGTTATTATTTTATGTCGCCCGTAAAAATTCGAAAGAAACATAGTAAGTAATCAAAGACCAATCATAAGAAACGAAAATGATTCAGATTTTTAAATCAGGCGATAGATTATCATTACCCATTACATTTCTTTACACATATAAATTACTATCTAAATAGATCTTCTGTGTTGATTCCACTTATCTTAATGAAATAATTACTAACAATTCAGTAATGGTTAACAATAGTTTGGCATGAAAATCATTTAAAAAACAAAGTGATTTTTGAAATGACCTAAAATCACTAATTTACCTTTCCTGTTAAACGCTTTGGACGATAATTATTTTTATGGCATCATTCAAATTAATTGAATTTGATTTAATTATTCGTTCTCGTAGCTGCTTAATACTGCTTAGAGCTTTAATTCATCTATCAATGTCAATGTTCCACTGTCTCAGAATATTTTGACTATGCAGACATTTAGTTTTTTGTTTATTGATAGTAAAATTAAAACGTATCTGTAGCGAACGCAACTACATCTAATCAAGTAGCGTCTCATTATAAATTCAGACACTCCAAGGTTCTTGTTCATTTTTTTTATTTTTTTTATTGCTTACATGGATGGACATGCTCACCGCCCACCTGTTGTTAAGTGGTTACCGAAGCCCATAGACATCTACAACGCAAATGCCGCCACCTACTTTGAGACATGTGCTCATGTGGTCTCAGTTTTTTTTTAGAGTAGGTACTATCTAATCTATGTATATAAAAATGAATTGCTGTTCGTTAGTCTCGCTAAAACTCGAGAACGGCTGGACTGATTTGGCTAATTTTGGTCTTGAATTATTTGTGGAAGTCCAGAGAAGGTTCAAAAGGTAGATAAATAAGAAAATGCTCGGAATTAAATAAAAATAACAATGTTGTTTTTCCTTTAATGTATCCCCCGTCGCACGGATTCCTTTTGTTTGTTTTAAGTTTATTTTATACAAAAGCTTAGGTCTTTTATTTATCGATTGAGGCACTACGAAGTCTGCCGGATCAGCTAGTAAGTAATAAAGAATCAATATCAACACCTATATACTATTCTGAGAACGTATACTTTGAAAGTTTGACTGAAGAGCAACCAGGTGTGACAGGTTTTAAATAAAAAGGCTCTGACAGGTATTTTTGGAAACTTTCAAATACCTAATAATTACTATATACAATGCAATATAAAAAATCTGCTTAATTCTATATCATAACGTTTCTGGTTAATTCTTGAAAGTACTAGGGTCGTCGAANACCTATATACTATTCTGAGAACGTATACTTTGAAAGTTTGACTGAAGAGCAACCAGGTGTGACAGGTTTTAAATAAAAAGGCTCTGACAGGTATTTTTGGAAACTTTCAAATACCTAATAATTACTATATACAATGCAATATAAAAAATCTGCTTAATTCTATATCATAACGTTTCTGGTTAATTCTTGAAAGTACTAGGGTCGTCGAATTTGGAATTACAAGAGAAGCGGCTTCCGTATTCATACAGGAAACTAAACAGAAGTACCTACCTATTATACTTACCCAATGGCAATCTGGAAGTTTCAGTTCATAATTTTTTCTTGCATTTAGTTCACTTGACGGGGCTCGCTGAACGCGTTCATTGTCTACATTGAAAGCATTTAAGTAAGGCTTGCTTGTAGGTACAAACCTTAAGTAAGTTTTTTGACCTCAAACATTTCTTAGGCACATTAAGCGTTTACGATTTCGAATACAAATAAACATTGTCTTCCCGATCGCTTCTCGTCCGTCATGATCTCCATCTTCCGTAAAAGCTTCAAATACACTCTCCTATCTCTCGAATGTTTTATTTATTTATTTAAATAGATGTGCACACAAAATATTCTACCAATACTACGATCGACAAATACAAAAGCGCGAAAAAACACAATTCTTCAATCACATTCGTAGAGCGCAACTTCCTACGTGTTCTATATTAAAACAGTGGCACATTAGTACAAAAAAATACTAATTTGAATAAAGACCGAGCCAGTGAAAGTTTCCGGCAACGGCGAAAGTCACATCGTAAATGTGTTACATTCCGAATGCATTAAAATTGCTGTGTGTTAGTGTGTCTACCGCATTGCTTATAGCCAATTAATTAAAATAGTGTGTCCATCTTTGATTATTCAGTGAAGTGTCTTAGCAACGTAGATGCCAGTTTCGTTTATTTTGCTTCATTTTAAACACTTTATTGTAAACCCAAAGGAATTTTGCATGTGCCATGAATACCTTGGATCTAGAATATAATGTGATCATGTATTTCAACCCATGTAAAATCCTCTGGAAAATGAAGCAAACGATGTCAAGTTATTTGTGATAGGCAATATTTTGCTGTATGAATGTTTAAAATGAAAACAACTTCAAAAGGTCGCGCAATATGGGAAAAAGGTATGAAAATTGTTATTTCTTCGAAATTCAACAAATATCATCTTTTCAATTAGGTCAAAAGATATTTAAGTAATATCTTATATTTAAAGTTCATTTACACGAAGTGAAAACTGCATTCTCAGCTAAAAATACGAATTATTCTACAAAAAGTTAAGTCAAGTTGCAAATAGCCTTCGACTTGTGCACGATGTGTGTCTGATTGTATTTAATTATTTACCTACATAGTTATGCTATAAAATGACGTTACCAAGGTCAAAATAAATGTTCGAATACGATTGTCGAACAAACAAAGATAAGCAAATGAAATATTAAACATTAAATTAATTAATTGACAAGAAAATTAAAATAATTAAATTTAATTCAAAATGGTAGATTCTTTTTTTATTTTGCTTAAAGAACTTACAAATATCACGAAATGTATGCCGACACTTCCTTGAGGTCAGGGCCTCAATTTTATACAGTCTGCACTACCATTCAAACTGGCACACATGTCTGGCAGTTTGATGATATACATAAATCTCACGCTTACACACGCTCCACTATAGCTAATTTAAAAAAAAATTATTAATGATTAGCATCGGTCAAGGTCGTCAGCAATGCCAGGGGCACAGCAATGCCGCTAGCTACAGCTGAGTACTGAGAAGCATATGTCATCGAGCTTAGGAAATACGAAGAAAATTCCAAAACCGAATTATATGTGCCAAATCTAGAAGTAGCTGGTATTTGGTAGCCCAGGCCCAGAGATGAGAACAGTAATACAAACTAGGCTGAACCTGTGCTTTATCAAGCACAAGTCTTTGTCCGGTTGAACTGAAATATTTCACCCCATTCAGAGACCCGACGATTTATCAATTTGGCACATTATTTTTTAAACATTATTTTATTTATTCTCTCATCTTGGTAATCGTTCGTAAGCGCGTGTTAAGCTCGTGGGATTTCAACAACGACACAATCGCATCGCTCAAAACACCGCGCACACCGAACATCTTATCTTTTAGGCCACGATGACTTCTAGTATCGTTCCTTGCTCCAACAAAATAATACAGGGTGCTGTGAAAAAGTTTCCGAAAGCATTGTAACACTAAAAATATGACTCCAAATTTTCATATTTTACTATGTTTTTAGTGTGCTTAGTAACGAAATTTCTTAATGCAGTAATGTATGAGTAATGTCTAAGTACCTACAATTAAAGCCGTCTTTTAAAAATGGGTATTATAGAGAGAGTAGAGGGTAGAGAATGGATTCTGCTAAAAAAAATTCTATTCTATTATCTGTTACTTATTTAATATTATTTTGAGTATAACGGTAGTTAGTTAGAAGGCCACTAGAATTAAGACGACTGGTTACTAAAATAAGCTTGTAGTAAATACACAATCAATTAATTTATTGTAACAAGAATTTAACGTTCATAAGTATTATACAATGTCTGGGTAAGTCGTCGAGTCTAATGAAAATAGGTGCCTAAAACTTAATAGAAAGACTCCAGAAAGAGGATATACTTACAACAGATTTACCCACTTCTATCGTCGTACTTGCAATGTTCAGTCTACCCGTGAACATAGCAGTGGTCACAACGCTGAAATGTCGGACACTCACCAAAATAAAAAAGTGGTTGGAAAGAGCTCGTTAAATAATACTTAGTATTTGTAACGTAGATAGCCACAAAAGCTTTCAATATTATGGTGCAAATATTTTTGCAACTTTAGCTCGTACATCATAGTATGATACCTATTAAATTAACGCATAATTCTTATGCGTTTACCCAATATAATAGTGATATTTAAACGGAAAATTCAAATAAATATAATTTTTTGTAACAAAACACAATGGACAGCGGCTTGGCTATGCCCCGGGTATTGCTTACGTCCATCAGCGATGATGACAACTAACCATCCGGTCGCATGCTCGTCTGCCTTCGAAGACAATAAAAAAGTTATCAACATAAAATACAGCTATTATAACAATATGATATCACAAGCCACTGTCCAGTAAAATAATACTACCACTAGAAATACTTTAGCAGTAACTATGCCCAATTAGCTAACAGATAACATTATTTAAGATTCGTATAATTTTGCGCACGCATTATCATGCATGCATCTACTAACACTTGCAACCTACTCCACATTTTAATATTAATTAGGTCCTTTTTAAAATAGCTTTGTTTTTTTGTAATGCCTGTATAACGTTGTAATATTTTAGCACAGACGTAAAATGTAATTATTTCATATGTTTTGCCTTTTCTGAAGTTACGTACCTATTTAAAATATGGCATCACTGTCTCATTACAATGCGACGCTGGCAACTCAAGAAATCAGTCAAGTTAAGATTCTAGTTCAGAGTGGATTTATGATTTTTTTTCAAATTTTAAGCGCTATTTTAAAATGTACACCGTTTCCAAAGGACCCAGCAAGATTGTTGCAAAAACTAGAAGGGGTAAACAATTGATGTTAATGAATTTTATTAAATTGAGTATGTTTACCTTGATAGTGATCATGTGAGATGAACTTTCGAACATCTATTTCAATTTGCAGGCCTCTCCCAGAATCTAGAAAGGTTAGACAGTCGGAAAGATCATAACAGGAAGTCTTCAGATTCTGATACCGGAGAAATAATTAAGTAAATAATTTTCCTTTACCATATTGTTACAAAATGTTTATTAAATATTTCATCATTGTTTTTACATAACCTTTACGTCTGAGGAAACTTTTCAGTTCTTTTTTACAGATTTTCTATTAAATTATAATACGTTTCGCTTCAGTAAAAACGCAGAGCATATATTCACGTGTTTTGTTTGTTGATTTAAGTTACTTAACCTTTGCTATTAAATATTTTCAGCATGCCTAGACCTATATTTCATTCCAATGGTAAAAAGACAGTGCATCAACGAATACAACATCATGTGATTACTCCACAGCACGAAGAAATAATTAGATTCATAAGTGAAAGTAAGTAAATTTAGGTTAGAACATTGTTTGTGTAACCTTACTATGTCATTAATAGGGCCCAATTATGTGAAGTGCAGTTTGAATCAGAACATAAAGTAACTTTATAATTAGTAATTGAAAATAGACATTTTTTCATTTTTAATACTATTGAAACAATGACATTATCTCAAAATTTCCTAGTGCTATGTACATTAAGATCTTCATGTGTTCGCATAACAAGTCATCTAGTCTGTCTATCCAAAATAAACAAAATATGTCAAAAAACATCAAAACATGAGAGTTTAATTATTACTATCAAAATAACAATGAATTCAAATTTAAACTTAATAGTCTGAAACCATTTCTTCTAAGGAAATACATGCTTCACATAATTTTAACGAACCACTCTCAGTAACACAATAATATTGTACAATTTATAAATTTACTTAGTTAGCATGTGTAAGGTGTATGATTAATCCACATGGGTATGTTCCCACTCTGTATATTTCTGCTGTGAAGAATGATGAACTATAATAGTTTGGTGGATGGTAATCTATTAATCAGTCAAATGAAAACTCTTGTGATGCCCACGGGTTCCAGTAATCACTAAGAAAGTCAATCATTAGCTTAATTATACATAATGCAAAAAAAACAGTATCGTCAGAGATCTTTACAATTAAAATATGTCAATCAATAGCTTCTTGTATCACATTTCCAAGTTAATTGTAGCAACTCATGGCACACATAAAAAGGTTAGCAACCCTATTAAACTTCATTGAAAATGATTCATAGTCATTGAAGCAAATAAATTATTGATATTGATTTAAATTTTCAGCTTGGACACAATCAACATATGCAGACAGTGAACCCTCAACACCAACTAGTACGACTGGCAAGTAATTTTTTTGTAACACAAAACTAAGTAGAAATTTATTTTAGACCTTAACCTAATCAGAAAAGAATCCAGAATACAATATCTAAAAACTGATTATATTAAGTCCGCAAGGCAACAAGTTCTGATACTGCATAACACAAGAAACATTGCAAATAAAACATACTATCAGATAAAATGCAGGAAAGTAATCTGTCATGTTAAGAATAATTATGATGGATCATATAGCATTGATAAGACAGTGACTAACTTAGTGGCCTATACAAAGAAAATTTTAAATACTAACATTCATAATCATAAAGTTCATTATAACATAATAATTCTGTTGCAATATGTATATATGTTATTTGTATATATACTGCATTGGATTTAAATACTTCCTTTTTTGTACACTTGGTGGGGAAAAAAACACACTCTTGTCCCATCTTCTGTTGTGTGATTAACAAAACCTATAAGCATAACAGAATGAATGCATTGCCCTGAAACTCCTCCATCACAGAATATTTTTTAATGATGGTAAAACGTCTTCTAAGCTGCATAGGTAGGTGGGTAGCTTGAAAGTTGCCCCAAAACTGTATTATAGAAGTGGGACATAGAACTAATATCTCAAGGTAGTGATATCTATGGGCTCTGGTAACCTCTTTAAACCCTATGAGCCTTGAACTTCTCGAACGGTCTAAGCAATAAAAAAGAAAATAAATAAACTATGAAGTAACAGAGTGTTAAGTTTTTTTTTTATTGCCTACTCAGAGACAGCAGTAACAGAGTTAAGTTCTAATTATTATTTTTATTGCTTCTGTAGCCTTCGAGCATACCAAAGACCCAAGTCACTGCCTGTAAAATACGGAATGTTGATATTCGCTACACACTTGTGTTCAGAACATGTAATAAGCTCTTTTAGGGTTAATCATAAATTAAAATAACGCCCCAAAGTACGCATTCGCGGGAAAGGCTTGAATTACTAACTGCTTACTGAAATGAATATTTCTTTTATCATCGATTGATGGACTGAATCGGCACTCAAATTCCACAATATCAAATTTAATAATACGTGCTAAGGCGTGTTCACGAACAACTTCCACGATGAAGGAATAAAATCGTGTAATACAAATTAAGCCAGGAACAAATCATTATGTTTAAGGACTATGGAATTATGTCTCAAGTTTAGAGAACTTGTGATGTCTATGGGCTTCGGTAACCACTTTATATCAGATAGGCCGCCATCTTAACTTACACATAATACAAACATCTAGAATATTTGTTCATATAACTTGTTGCCGTTTTAATACAATATCAAAGGTACATATTATGTCTCAAATAAGAGCAAACATTAACTGGGATATGACTTATCTTGAACACACATGTTGACATAATGACTTGCATGTTCATACAACATTCAGAATGTGACACTGATTTTTGATGAAAAAGCAAGTAAATCCACCTTATCATTAAAAGGCCTATACTATTTCCAAACTGGTACTATGTGTGGTCCCCCGAAAACAAAAAGAAAGATTGTCAGGATCGATGAAGCTTAGGAACTATCATTATAATGTATTTGCAATACAAACGTTGCTTTAAAATGTCATATTGTATTTTCAGATTCTGGCAGCTCATCACCGGATCCACCCACCAATCTATACTACCAAGACGAAGCCCCAAGCCCCACACTAAGGGACTTCAAGCCCTTCGACTTAGAAACGTGGTGGGGCAAACGACTTTTCCAGAACATAACAAACTCCCTATGAGACAGATACATTCGCTTCATGATCAAGGACGTGATCGGTGGATCAACTCTCAATCATTTGTAGTTTACTTAATTTTCTGTATAACATGTAAATAATTTTATTGAGATTAGTGTAAAAACTGTAACATAATGTAGTTAGGTATGTCATCTGCATTTGCACGATCAAAGAATGAAAATAACCTCGTCCCATATAATAAATTATGGATTCCAAAAGGATAAAACTCGCACAACAAAATTCATATCTCGCTACCTTATTTACACTAGAATTATTCATTACAATGCTACTAGTGTATTTATTGTAATATATATTTATAAATATGTAAGCTTGCTTCAAGGCAACATTTTAAGGATGAATTCTAAATTATGTAATCGCCTCGGAGATAAATTTTGATATAGAACACAAATCGCCTTAACTGTAATTAAAATACAATAATTTACTAATATTCTTTGTTACGCAAATAAGACATTAAAATCATTATTGAATAAATTAAGTTACCGTTGTAGTTGATATAGGAATTGGTAGGATGCATTTTACCGGATAAAATCAATGTCAAGGTCTGGTAACTAATCGGCTGCGAATCAGATAACTAAACGTAGAGAAGTCTTATGTAAGATATATGTAGGCATATTATAATCTACATTGTAATATAATCAAAAAATTCTTTGTTACGAATAATGTGAAATTTTATAAATAAAAATTGTTATTTAAAATTAAGTAATCTACAAGTGACTGTAGATTTATTAGCTAAATACATATTGTAAGGGTATTTTCTATCAAAAGCTCAAGACATATTATCATTCTTTATACAAATAACTATTCTTAAGCTTGATTGTTTTCATTGAATGTACCGTTTTCCGTTGTCGTGTCTGTTCTGTAAACTTTTTAAATGTTTATATAAAACAATTTGTAAGTACCAAAGAAGTTGTTGGAGCCCCTTTGTTTCGTTATTAATACTTTTATTATTGCTAAAATTGTGTGAGCCAAATTCACGAATGTAGTATACACTAGTCAAACAAGAACCATCATTCTAAGACACGCTGGATGAGGAGTTTCTGAAACTACAGTTTACTTATATAATACAAATTTTAATGAATCAAGTGCCTGAATGTATACAGTCTTCGCAAAAGAAATCAAATATAGATATTTAAATGAAGTGTGACGTTTGAATGTAGCGAAAATAATTTAATGGAGCATGGACGTAACATTACAAACAGGACTTGGCGAAGAAAGAGAAGTATGCAAAATTAGACTAGCAATTTTAGATCGATTAGTTGAGAGTAGATTTTATCGCTGACACTAGTTGTATTTTAGATAATAACATATTTTTTTAAATACTGTAATCGAATCATAATTGAATATGCAATTTCTAAAAGGGCACATGTCGCAAATTTTGTGAAATAGGTTTTTTCATATACATGTAGTTTTGAGGCTTACCTACACCCATTTTATAATAATTCCAGTAAGTTTCAATTGCTAATGAACACTAAAATATATCTCAAAAGTAAATATTTTAAATTTTACACTGCTTTAGAAAATAATCAGATTTTTTCATTTCCTGAAAATTTTACATTTTCAGAGATGTGCCCTTTTCGAAATTGCATATTCAATTAAATACGGCCATTGCGTTTAACGCATTAGAAACTTGCAACTTTATCGTTAATATCCGAAGTACGAAATTTATGGCTTAGTTCCACGTGAGTTATGTTTGGAGACGTAAGCAGTAAATTCGTTTCAATGCGAACTCTACTTTCCAGTCCTGTTTGTGATTGTATATCCATGTAAGTAAACGTTGTTGTTGTTAAAAAAAAAACGAGGGTAGTCTTATAATTTTTGTTTGTTTTTGTTGAATATGTAGTGCGTCGATACATGTAGCTAATGGAGTATTAAATAGGAAGTTATTTACCATGCAGTAGTATGAATCGCTCTAACACGGCAATTGTTAAAACATGATTGATCCTCTTTGTTTAGAAACTTTTTTTTTCATCCAAATTGCCATAGCTGTCTTCAGAGATTTTATTTTGTCACTTTCAGTGAACAAGTAAGTTTATAGATTTCTCTACTTTTTTTTTATAAAGCCCAAGAAACTCTGTCGGTCTTCAAAATTTTTGTTTCGAATAACACTTGAGTTATAAACGCTTTTATTTTATATTCGAAAAAGAACGCACTATAAAATATGCCGACACAGCTTATGTGACTTCATACCCTAAGAAATGTAAACATACCGTGCGAGAAAGAGACAACTAGCATCGCACCATCCTCACCGAGAGACTTACTAGTATCTCAGAATCCTTCGATGTAAAACGTGCTTTTTAATGATTTTCTTAAGTAAACTATAATGGTTTTAATGAATATGACTAATGATTGGGTTAATGTTGAAATTTATTGTTTATTTTATTCAAATTTATTCAGATTTTAATAATATTTCGTCCATTTCTTGTTTGATAATTAGAAGAATTGAAAATACATTATATTTTATGCAATTGTTATTGAAGTTTAAAATTAATAATTTAATTAATGTCAAAGTTGATGAATTGACATAGGTACCTACGTGTTGTAATAAATAATAACATTCTTTAAAATAATATCACTACAGATGTCGCTCATTGACAAGAATACAGAAAAGTTTTTAAATTAAGGTTTTCTAATCAAAAAGGTATTTTTCAGTAATTCATAAATACAATAAAAAAACTATTTACAAATAAAAAAGGCCATTTACCTTATGATTTAATGATGTTTTCCGCTCAGCAATGCAATGCTATAATGAATTATAAATGTAATTTTGATACGGTTACGAAAATCAAAATACACAATTTTTATTTTATGTACACAATCATTATCGACTGTCAATTAATCTAGTCTGAACATTTTATCGTAACCATAAAGCTAGATAACCGTTTGAAGGGTGCGATAGTCAAAATGAATAATATAATTGAACATCAATGCAAATATTGCTATGTTTTCTTTAACTATTATTTTTCTAGAACGAGTAACTAACTCGTATTTTTTCTAGAAAAATAATAGTACGTACGAAAATAATATATAGTACGTATCTTTGTTATTTCGTGTGCGGCGACTGTTTTGTTGTACATAATATTCATGTAGCTTGAAGCTAAACAATGTCTTCCAGATCAATTCGAATCATGTTAGAAACATGTACATTGGCGTGCAGCATGCAGATTCTAAATTTTATTAAATTGCTTTTAAGAAGAGTTGCATTAAGTGTACAAATTAGGAAATCGTGGAAAAAAATCATCATCTGACACATTTAGGTTTAACGCACCATTAAAGTAGGTAGTTAAAAATAATTTAGATGAATATTTCGGTACGTAGTGATACTGCAGGAGAATATTTTTAGACTGATTTAGTTGTAAAAGTTAACGCTTTTTGTTGTAGTTTAATAAACCATCTCAATGCACGTTTTTGGTTTTATTATTTTATTTAAAAATACACCACACGTTTTTAACCAAAAAGAAAAAATAATTCCAATACATATAATAGAATCAATTTTAATTAAAAATCTTTACAATAATATATCTCCGGTAAATAATATGATCTCTTATTGGTATCAATCACTAAAGAACGCACACAGAGAATGTAATATTTATTTCGAATAAGAAGTAAGAAATTCAAAGAGTATTTGTATATATTTACGTAATTTATCATTAAGTGACATTAAGTGTATAATCTATGTACATCAAATCGTATGAGTCAAGGATTTCGTGCCGTATCTGTTTTAATATTAAATGATAATAAATAAATGAAAAACTCAAAATCAAATAGCAAAGCCGATCAGAGTGATGATGATGATTTCAAACATACACATTCTAATAACTTTAAGGTAATAATTTGCAACGTACCTATTCACATTTTTTATTTGTTATACTATGTTTTTTTTAATTGCTTAAATGGATCGACGAACTCACAGCCCTCCTGGTGTTAAGTAGTTACTGGGGCACATAGACATATACAACGTAAATGCCGCCACCCACCTTGAGATATGATTTCTAAGGTCTCAGTATAGTTACAACGGCTACCCCGCCCTTCAAACCGAAACGCATTACTGCTTCACGGCAGAAATAGGCAGGGTGGTGGTACCTAACCGTGCGGACTCACAAGAGGTCCTGCCATCAGTAAAAAGTATATATTACATTACATTGTTAGTTTATTTGAAACAGGCAGACGGCGATTATATGAACAGCCTTCAAAACGCTCGGAGCGTTCTCGCTAAACTCGAGAAAACCATCTACAAAACAAGCAAATACGAAACGAAGCTGTCACGATGTAAATCGGGTCACACACATTCGCACAGTCTCAACGAGCTGTGGGAAAGCGATTTCACCGAAGATACACATAAGTTGAAATCTAAGACGGAAATTAATAGAAATGATGTCGCCAGATCTTGGTCGACGATGAGCATCGTTTGTTTACAATACCAGTAATGAGTTTAATCGTTTTTTGACTGAAACAATCATTAGCCCCATTAGGTGCCCACCTTGAGTTTGACCCGCCTTAAGGTCGAAGTCTCGAAGGCAAAAAAACATATATACTTAATCCAGGTAAACCATAACACCTTTAGAATTTACTTGTTCAGAAGAATTATGCTCTGCATGAAATGAAACATTTCTAGGAACACATTTTGCCTTCATTGGACGTGTTCTTTGTGAAAATCAACTAAACACAATTTTTCAACTGAATTCGATTCACATATATTATGTAATCCACCGACATCGACGTAGGAACATAACATTAAAAATGCCTTATGGAGCGATTTATTTCGATCAAAATAACTTCTTTAGATACGATGAACTTACAAAGCGTTACGAATCCTTATTACAAGCCTTCAATGAACGGTGCGATGCGGTCAACACAAGAGATAACGCCCTCAATGATCTGCAAAAACGACTGAATACTTGTCATAATGAAATAAACGAAGTCCATAAAACACTTATAGCTGTTTGTGATAAGTATTTAGCACTAAAATATAAGAAAAATGTCCAGGTCAGTTTCATTTATCAGCATTTAAAGGTATGTTATTATCATTGTATGGATTAGAATTTACAGTTTTCGTCACAAGCGCAAGTTTTATCTATTCACATAGCAATAACGTAAAGGCTATTTTTTTACTAATACAGATTTACAAAAAAATAAACTCTACTTGTAGGTATTATCATTGAAAGTAAATGGGCTACTGCGGCTCAAGGCATTCAACAGAGAACCAAAACATCTGTAAAAACACCCCAATATCCCGCCTATTTCTACCATGAACCAACTATACGTTCCAATTTGACAGTCAGGCAGCCGTTGGCCGTACAATACCTCATGTATCAAGTAGGCGACCGTGTCATGCTTACTTAATCGGTGGTAGGCTGATTGGCTATTCCAACTACGCCGGGCTGGTAGGTGAAATCACGGGGTTCAATATGAGAGAATTTGCTAACACTAGCCCTAGCAACAACAGTGCTTCGCTGAATCTACCACCGGATCGGAATCGCGACCCACTGAGAAAAACAGGCGAGAAACTCAGTGAGCTCTCTCTGTGTGGTTGATTCGGCATTAACTTAATAATAAATCTACTAAGATTAACGGAATATTTAACTGCAGCTATCTTCGTTAAACGTGAAGATTGAAAAACTGAAAAATATGATTAAAAGTGTTCTCAAATCAGCAGAACAGGCACGAATTCACTTTGACAATCAATTAGCTTGTTACTTGAGCAAAGAAAAGGACGCAATATCTGCCACGCTCCTAACTGAAGTAAGTTACTTACTTCATCGTTTGTCTTAAATTAGAGGACTTCGAATGGCCATAAGTATGTACACTCCAAAGTCTATTAGAAACAATACTTCTTTCCTACCTATTCGCTAGTAGCCTAAGGGGCTAGTCCAGCTACACCCAGGTAGGTGAGCTCACGGGCTCAACCTGAGAGAATTTGCTAACACTAGGCCTAGCAAGAGCAGTGCTTCGCAGATTCTCCGCATCAGAATCGCGACCCACTGAGAAGATCCGGCGAGAAACTCAGTGGGCTGTGTCCATAGCTTAGTTCGCTCGTCGAACTCTTCGTCGTTATCGACGAGTGCGACGGGGACGGTAACCGGTGCTTGAGCGAAACAATAGCGTTGAATCTACGGCATTTGGCAACCCTAACCTTGTATCTTAACGTGGACAGTGGTAGTGGTATTTGATTAACTGTTTGACTTAAAGTGAATCTATAGATCGTCTATCCACTTATTCCAGCAAAAAAAGTAACTTGCTTAAATCTTGTGTTGACAGCTCTTGATCACGTATTATTTTTAATTCATTTCCACAGATAACCATATGTAACAAACTATTTGTGGAAAACTTAAAACTGAAAGCCCACATCAACGAACTCACGTCTGACGTTCGAAATTAGTTTTTTTCTTTTTTAAATAAAACATGTGCAGTCCATAATATACATTGCTTTGTATGAAATCGTTTTTTTATTTGCATATGTGCACAATTAACAAAACCGTCGAGAAAAACCTATAATCTTACTTACACTGAATAGGCAAGCAGAAAGGTCTTATTGCATAAAAGTGTTGCGTAAGCTTTTCAAAACTCGGTTGAACGTAACTTCATTGCTTATAATGTCATTTGTGGTTAATATGTAAGATGAGCTAACCATAGATCATACACTATTAAGCAACAATTAGCCACATATATTTCGTGTTTAGCTTTAAAATTCTACGCTCCAACACTGATGTTTAATTTGGTGTAGTTTTAGTGAAGGTTAAACGGTCTCCGTTAGCGAAAGTGCCTTGGAGATCATTAATAGTATAACTGCTTGCATATTCACAATGCGAGCAATTTATCTTATATTCAACTATTACGAAGAAAAGAATTTCCATGATGTCATTCATACTCATACTTTGAGTGAGATATGAAATTTTATTTAAACTAAGTATTATGAATATATCTAGATATAAGCCATGTGTATCAATCTTCGCTTTCGAATTATGACGGCATCTCTTCAAGTTTTTTTACGTTTTTTTGTCTCTTAATAAAGCAAAGGATATTGATCCACACGAAAGATGTTGAGGCTACGTAAATAACTCTCAAATGTGAAGGCATGAAGTAAAAGTTAATCGTTTGCGCTGGAATCCAGAATGCTTGATTGGCTATAAACGTCTTCCAGTATTTCTGCTTAAGCTCTTCGAATACATCTTCTCTTCGTTCTAAAATCCCCAACACTAAAAAGTAAATAAGACAATTTAATTTACTGACGTTACTTGTATTACCTATGTAGGTACTTCATAATAGTGTCTCTATTCGTATAGTTGGGTAGACGAGAATATGGCCGCTTGGTATTTATTATTTGAATACGCATTTTTTTTAAACTTACAAGTATAAAACGTGGCCAATAATATAGGCGTCATAATGAACTGATCGGAAGCCACTTTTGTCGCTACGGCTTTGATCGCGTTGCCGGCAAACTTCTTGTCCAAAAATTTGTACCTGAAAATAATAATAATATGATAGACTAACTCTTAAATTGGGAGAAGCAGTACCTACACACAGTTAGATATCATTACAAAGGATTATTTGGAAGTGTAGTACACCGTACACGTATAGTAATAAAACAAAAGATCCGAGTAGCTGAAGGATCGGGCAATTGTTTGCCTCCCTAAAATAGAGGATAGATTCAACCTTTCTATTCACTATTTCATTTCTATTTGTTTCAACCACTCAAACCTATTCAACTGTTATGCTCTTTTTTGTCATCATTCCTATAATTAGATAACCAATTATGTACCTAATCCGTTCGTTGTAATAGTATTCTCAAAGCGAGTACCTTCAGGCCGGATTCTCGTATAAAAACTCTGATTAATCGTCGGGAAAACGGTTAATAAATAAAAACAGTTAATTTTTCTAAATGACTTCTATGATGAAACAACTAGGTAAAATGAAAATCAAACCCGCAAGGAATTACAATTTGCGTTCTTGTGGCTACTAGACAGACGGTTAGATACTAGCACTTTGCCTGTTTCTACCGCGAAGCTGTGATGTGTTCCGACTTGCAGAGTCCTGGGTAAGCAATCAGAAAGAGAAGAACTATCGAAAAGCCAGTATTGAAATTTCAAATACGTACCAAAAGTACAATGTGGGTGCGTAAACAGTACTACCAACTGAGACGATTCGGGCGGCAGCCGCGACATCTAAATCTGGCTTTTCCGGCTGTAAAATAACAATGACGTTTATTACAGTTTTAGGCCACTTATATTAAATAGTAGTCGACTATTGACCGAATTTCGATCTTAATTACTCATCACTACGAATCATACATCTGCTGCTTATGTATTACATTCTCTTTTATGTTTTGACTTTGCCATTTTGAAAAAAAACCTCAATTATTATCATTAAAGCTCCTCAATAGCTAATCAGAAAAAAAGAAAGAAATCGGTTAACAAAAAGACGAGAGAATGGTATTAAAGAGTATGCTTTTTTTTTAAACAATTTACAAAAAAGTTTAGATAACACAAGTCACAAAGTTCATAGAAAAACAACCATGGGATGTCGTTTCGTTGAGCGGGCGATATTTCTTTGTGAACTGACAGTCCGAATGTCATTTTACTTAATTTGTGTATAAGCACGCGGATCTTCTAATCATCGGTTGTGCTATTCAGATTTTTGCCGGATTCCTTCTTTTCTATCTTACAAACTGGTACATATTTTAACGATTTTCGCCAACGGCACCAAACTAGAAATTTCTCCTGTGTTATCATCAGTGCCGCCAATACATACGAGACAAGAGCAAATCTATCTTAATTATTTAAAAGCTTCTTTCACAAAGACACTAAATCGCAAAAACCGAACATAACGCATATTGATCATCGTGATTGTGTTATTGTGGAAGCATTTTATGAATTGGAAGCCATAAACGCTTTGAAGCCGTGCATTGGACGACTGTCGGTTGTTGATGTTATGAACTGCTTGGAGACCGCTGATAGTAGTTTTATTATACTAAAGATTATTATTAAAATTGGCTAATAATGTTACATAAGTTAAACAAATTGTTTGTGTTACGTAATGTTAGCACATTGTAATGTATATAGCATATAAAAAATTCAAACCAATAGTCATCGGTAGCGTGGCCGAGCGGTCTAAGGCGCTGGTTTAAGGCACCAGTCTCTTCGGAGGCGTGGGTTCGAATCCCACCGCTGCCATCTCTTTTTGAATATTTTAAATTTAAGCTTTTGTAAATTTCAATTTTAACAGCAAAATTAACTAATTTGAGATAAAAACTTTTTCAATCACTGTATATATATTTGTAAATTATAATCATAATATTTTAGGAATTTATTGATTCTTTTTGTAGAGTTAAAAAAATGAAAATGTATTAATTCATTGTTCAAACTCACGTAAGATCACTGATTAAAGAAATTAATAACAACAATATACGAGTATAACATCCACATTTATTTGATCTAATATTATAAATCCAAATTTATCTTGAATAAAGTACTATTCCCTATACATTAATTTATCTAAATTAACGCGAGTGGAGCCTGTGGGTAAAAAAAGTATGTACTGAATAAAGACAAGCACTCTGAGTTTGCGTCAATGGATTTCCGCGGAACTACGAACGTAATATTTAAGAAATACATATTATTATGTTGTGGTGATTTTAGATTCTTTCACACCTGAAATCTGCATCAGCGCTGCTTAGACGGTGCGGTGAATCCTTTCCAAAATCATTCATCTTCATTAACTTCCTTTTCTATCAATTGTCAATGAAATTTCTATTCAACTCTAGTTATAGTCACATTCACATTCACTTGAATATTTATATTATTATTTTTACGATCCATTCTTATTTTTTATTTATTTCTACCACGATCGCCTTGCACGCTTACTCCCCTAGTAACATCAATTTCCTCTCAACTCATCACGTATTCAAACCACTACTTACTCGTAAGTTTAACAACCACAGGAGGTAGGTACTTCGACGCGTCCTCTAAAATATTCATTTCCCACCTTAAACTAACTCCACAGATCCATTAACATTCATTCACTTCTACGAAATGTTCGCTAATTATAAATCAGATCTCACCGAGTAAATTCTATTGAAGGTTTGCTGCGACAATTCAGCGGCAGTATAAAATGTTGCGTAGACTACTGTGTTGGTCAGAACCGGACGACGTTGTAGGGATTGGCGTGACCAAGCCAGTAATTTTGACGCCATGCTCTCTATCTGAATATCCAAAAAACTAGTATAAATTATAGAAATATTGGAGTGTGCTCTTAAAATAAACAAAATCAGGTATTAGGCGGGGGCTTGGCTTTGTCCCTAGCATTGCTGAAGTCCATGGGCGATGGTAACCACTCACCATCAGGTGGTATGCTCGTCTGTCTACAAAGGGAATTTTTTTTGTTGAAACGGAAGACGTAAGCGTAATAATTACTGAGTAATTACGAAGGTAATGTTGTTATAATTATCATGTTTTTTTATTAGCCTGATCTATAATGTTTCACCTAATTTTTGACCAAATCTGTTAACTTTAAATATTTCAAACACATCAGTAATCGTTGACGATATAATATTTTCATCACTTTACTGACCAGAATCGATAGGATTCATAATAAATTTAATTGAGTTTGGTTTTGCTATAAAAGCTTGTTATTTTAGTTCTTAAATATATTTTTTAATTACGCTTCGCGCTTTATAGTAAGTGGTCGTCGCCATTGCTCAGGAAAATACCACGAGTGAAGCCAAGCAGGCGTCTGATGTCACAACAGTGGTGTAGTAATACCTATTCACAAAATTCATGTGCAAAACTATGGTCACATTCGATTTAGCTTTCATTTCGTCTTATCAGCCTCCATAACAGTTATATTTATTGCTATTTTTAATTACAATAATAAGACACGGTTATACCTCTCTAGTCTGTCAAGAATGAATCGAATAAGAAGAAGAATACGACTAATAACGTACAAAGGCTTAAAGATTAGTTTGACGACGCAAGCAATGTACTAGGTGGCTGTCGATTGTGTTTCAATTTAACCGCATAGATTACTATCCTACTTTACGTAATACCTAATATATAAAAATAATCTTTATCAATACACACGATTGACAACAACGATGTTATCGCAAAAGTTCGATACTGTGTGCCCTGAACAGAGCGATTAAAAGAACTTATTTCTAAGCACTCAAAATTCGTGTACTGTTATTACTTAGCTGTTGTGAAGCCGAAATCACGCCCTGTATCATACCCGATCCTGTGGACCGAATGGTAAACAATCGACGTCGCCCTAAAAACGTCATTACGGATCCTCCTGATCCAGCTGAGTTTCTCGCCGGATCTTCTCAGTGAGTCGCGTTTCCGATCCGGTGGTAGATTCTTTGTAACTGACTGCTCTTGCTAGGGTTGCTACGATTTGAGCTCCGAGAACTCACCTACAGAGCAACGCTGATATAGCCTCTCAAGGCTAACAGCATAGGTAGGGAAAAAAAACGCCCGGTCCTGGGGCCTATATTTAGACACTATATACTGTGGCCACGTCCACGTTAAGACTTGAGGATGAATTATTAACTGTACTACTAGGACGACTGTCTAATACTTCAGGACTAGCGGCATATCCTATCAAAATCTCTCCCAATTTTATAATACGTTTTGATTGCACGCGATGATTAGATTAATTTAAGGCCCACCTGTTATTTTGTGGTTACCAAAGCTCGTAGATATCTTAACTCGAACACCACTAGGCATCTTCAGGCAGCTCTATTACCCGTTCCACCCTTCAAAGCCATGTTGATTTACACTACGTAAACTACGTCCTAACTTCAGTAAAGGTCATCATAATATTCTGATACAGACCTCTGACCAGCCGCAAGAAGCACACCACTAGTTCTTAGAATTCAAGTCTACATTGTTCAAAGACATTATCAAAAATCACGTTGAATGTGAGGGTCGGTGAATCGAAAAGAAATCAGAACGTTATCACTTAGATTTGATACGGGATTTCTTAAACCATCGTACGATTGCACGATTACGTTTAAGACATAATGTGATATCGTAATCTGTAACATTTTATTTATTTATTTATTTATTTATAACTTCATATACTAGAAAGTATAAAGGCGGACTTAATGCCATAGGCATTCTCTAACAGTCTAACTTAGGGGAGTGCAGAGATGAACCTTGGTAGGTGTAGTGTGAAGGTGATATTACTTAAACATATGTGTATACATAACATACGTAATATTTATAGATGTTAACGGAAATGTATGTAATCCGTCATTGTATACAATTCCTAGGAAATGTATGTAATTCCTAAAATCGCACGGAAATGTGTGAAATAAATTATATTATACTTACACATTACACATTTCCTAGGAAATTTATACATTTCCTAAATAGCAATCGGAAATGTAAAACATTTGAGATATTGGTGGGTACGCGGGGACAGCGGGACGAGTCTTGCACTACGGTCAGTTGCCAACTTGCAATCCACTGGAACCGGCCAGGGATTTAAGAAGTGCCTTTGCAAGAAAAACTGTGCTACATCAAGATGTCTGTGTTTTAAAAATAAAGTATTATGTACTTCCAAATGCCATTCGAGCTTACCCTGCAAAAATAAATAGCTATATGGACTGACAAAGTATTATAATATAAAGATTTACTTTTATACTTTGACATTTATAATTACTTAATTATCAGACTGATTACTTGCCAAATGAAAATTTGATTTTATAAGAATAAATATAAGTTGATTTTGTGATACGTTAAAAGTTAATAGATAGTTGATTTTAGAAGTTTTAATTAGTAAGATAATATGAATATATTATTATTATTTTACGGTATGACTGTTACCCGATTGTCTCAATAAGTGTTATAATAAAAAAATATTATTAACAACGTGTTTTATTACAGAAAACATTTACTTTATACATTTCCTAATACGATATTGGAATTATATACAATTCCGAGGAAATTTATAATTTCCTAGGATATCTATGCATTAAATAGTTTTTCAAACAATATTTTATACATTTCCTAAATAGTATCGGAATTGTACACATTTCCTAGGATTTGTATACAATTCCTTGATTTCATACATTTCCGGTAACATAGATACAAATACTGGTACTTAAATAAATACATATACATATCATAAATATATACATATAATAACATACATAAACAAATATTATCAATTAGATGACTCTGCTAGCTCTCTGAGAAACAGTTCTCGAACCAGTTTATTTTAGAAGCGGTCTCGCTAACATCATTCCCATTTCTGTTATAATTTTAGCAGGAATATATATTATGTATGTTACATGACTCTAGTAATCTCGATAACTTGAATTTAAACTCGTTAGACATGTTACTAGATCTGTAACAGTGCTATCGTCTTACATTTACATATAATCTGTGAATTAATGAACGAAATAGTAGATGCACAATACATAATAATATATGAGCCATGTATTAACATTTTGATTCAGCGATTCAAAGTAACTATAACTACTTGAGTTGTCACTGTTATTTTATCACCGCGCTTCCGTAGTAAACAATATTCTCATTTTAATTCTCTATCACTTATTCAATCACGTATCTATCTTTTAGCGAAATCGAAAGTAGAGATATATCTGTTATTTGATAAAGACTCTAAAACGAGCATACCTCAATTTTTTAAATCTCACTAAATTCACGGGAATGGAGCACAAAGTATGTACTAAGTATATTTATAATATTTTCATCCTTTGTTTTTTTTAACGGTAATTAAAATACGCTTACCTCAATTTAAAAGCTTAGGTAGGTAGTTGCCTAATTCACGCGTGTAGTGTGGCTGATTTGTGTCACTATTACTAATATTTTTTCGTATAATAAACAAAGAATATAACAAAATGTATCGGATGTTTTGTGTTTTTTTTTTTAAATAAAATCGTTATTACCAATACCAGGCCATTTCGTGTGGGCAGACGCACTAACACTGGCCCCTTCAAACAGCCAATTGACTTCAATAGAATAATTAAATGCAATACAATGATATACCGCTGTTGTATCTCACGCTTTTTGGTTTAAAAATATACATAATTTTAGAGCACATTATCTACACCAATAACAATGTTCACATTCTTAAAACGACTCCAATATTTCATCGGCATCATCAATTTATCATCCTATGACCCTCACAAATTTCAAAATTACAATCGCATTTATTCTCACAATATTTTAACAAAACATCTACTATTTTTGAACAAATTATCCGTCAAGAACTGCACAATTTGATAGTAATTCGTGATCGTGTTCGTATTTTTTTTTCTATGATAGAATGTGCATTTTAATATCACGTTTTAAATAATTATTAAACGAAGGCCTGTTTTTTAATTTTAATTTAAGTGTAATGTGAACGTATTCGATATGATAATAAATTGTATCTCAAAAATTATCTACTAATAGCTAACAAAATGAAATCTGATAACACGATGATTGATTTTGTTTTGCGAACAGTACTTAAGGTGGAAATTAATAAAAACTTCCAGTAGAAAAAGCAAACTCATTATTAAAGGGGCTAGGTCTGTTCCCTTTGTGATATCTACGAGCTCAGAGAGCCACCTTAGACCACGTGAGCCGTGAAAGTTAGTGCCACCATTTTCATAATAACTTTTTTTAACTGAAAAAAAAAAACAGTTACACTTCTTCCCATTTTAAGATCATAGGACATATTGCGAGCCCGCTCAGATACTACCCTCCGTTATACCATGAAGAACTTATGTGTTCTAATTCATAGATAGGACAAAAATTGTACCATTTCAATTGAGATTTCAAATACTTATACTAGTCTGGCCAAAATACTGCTACAATTTAAAATAAACAAAATATTACATTTGAATTTGGAATCTGTCATTTTTATATGATTGCTCATTGAGTTTTCTCATTTTGGCGGCAATACATTGTACAATATTTTGCGATATTAAAATGGAGTGGGGTGATAAAGAAAAACGAATCGCTGTGATTGCATTACACACAGTAGGTATGGAGCCAAATGCAATTTTCAAAACTCTCCATACGCTTGGTATTAGTAAAATCACGGAATAGATAAATTTATCTATTCCGTGAGTAAAATGTTTGTGTACCGGGCTATTAATAGGTGCAATGAGACCTCCTCTCTTTATGACATAAAAAGATCTGGCCGTCCACGTAGTGTTCGTACGAAAAAGGTGGTCAAAGCAGTAAGGGAAAG